CTGTTGTGTTAATTGGTAATGGATGATTTTATTGAGCTATTATCAAATAAACGACATGTTAAATGGCATGATAATGCCATAGTTGTGAAACCACTATATATATGAGACAGTGTCAAATTAAAAATAAAATCTATTAATTCCTTAGAAATCGCTTTGTTTATGATTCAAATACAAAATTGAGTAGATATGAATTTTTGAAGGAATGCAACTTCAAAACCCTGACAGAGAGTACATTTCCTTTAAGTCTCTTGAATGTGTAATGCCGGTAGACATAATTCACATTGTTTAAAAAACAGGTCATCTACTTAAACATAAGTACCCTCTAAAATAATGTTTGGAGTTATATATTTCATGTATTTAGGCAGTAAATTCTTTTTTAGACATGTCTGATTGAATAAATTACAGACATTATGTCTGCTAAATTTTTAATAAAATCTGTACAACATATAGTTTTGTACCACTTGCACCTCTGAAGAAGTACTTGGAAAATTAAAATAAAAGAAATTTAAGCAGCTATAGCTCATTTCTCTCATCCTTTAACATCAATACATGGAAGGTTATTCAAGCGTATAAACTTTATCAAAAATTAGCAGACATAATGTCTGTAATTTATTCAGCATATATGTGTGTGTGTGTGTGTTTGTGTCTTCCACTGAACCAGAATTGTGAAATGCAATTATTGAAATATAGGTTTGTTCAAAGTTATCCGAGAAGTCAACATCCAATTTTAAAAGGCTAATGAGAATTTTAATAGTTTCCAGTGGATGTAATAAATTGCTCTCAATTGAAACATATTTTCTGCTGATCCCTTCAGGCCACAAATTTAATACTTTTTCCATGTTTACTATAACACTTTCCACATATCATTATCATCATCAGTATATGAAATACCGTTTTTCAATTCTTAATAATTTCACAAATCAGTTTCATTTTTACAATTCTACATACAACTTTTGCCCCTTGTTAAGTCAAGAATCATATTATAATTCTGTTTGTTCTTTAGTTTTCACATATGCCGATATCTCATAAATAATGGACTATTCTGTTTTGATGGTGAGGAAAATCTAAAAATACATATCAGAGACGCTGTTTGGTTTCAGTGAGAAAAAGAAAGTAGAGGAGGGAACAATGCTCTCGTGTGTAATGTCTGCTTCAGTGAAATGGAAATACTTGTCAATTTTAATTTTTTTCATTTGTATCCTCTTCTTACTTCTTTAGATAATGACCTGCATTCAAACTGATGCTTGCTTGTTATTGGAATATTTGGTTAAAGTTGTTAAGCTCAAATATTTAAATGATACAAAAGGGGAATTTCTATGAGTATTTTGTAGTCATGGAACTTACAATTAACTTATTTATTCATTTAAAAATATGATACATCAGAGAATTCAAATAGTGAAACTGAAAATTTCATGAGTACTGATAGTTTTAATTATTTTGTTTAAAAGAAACAATTTACAACTTCTTTAGTATATTAGAATTATTGTCTGTATCGTTTCTTTGGCGCCATCATTAATAAAATATTCAGTTAAGTTTAAAATAAAAGCAAAACACTATGATATTTTCAATTCTGTGATATTTTCCAATACACCATAAGTCCATTGGATGACTGAAAGGAAAAAAACTACCTTCTAAACCAAAAATTATATCTGAATTATATACAACAAAACAAGTTATGTCTATCTATTTTTAGTTATTTTAGACAATTTTTTTTTGGAGATTTGCTAATCTAAATTTTTGTTCCAAGGACCTGATGACTATGACTTTGTGAGTTTGATGGTTCTGAAGACATTTAAATTTTGTCTATAATTTTTTACTCTTTTTTTTTGTAATATATTTTGCAAAATAGATTTATTTTTAGCTTAATAAAATTTTTGAAGATATAAGTTTTGCTGATTGGGTCACTCAACTGAAAGTAAGTGAAACCGTAGGGGACAATTCTGCAGGTAGTGAAGTTGTATTTTGCACTACCTAACACGCCCAGGGATTGAACTCGCAACTGCCGAACAATTAACTAACATTTGAATCTTCTAAAGAAGCTATGTATTCTACAGGAAATAAAGAATATTCAACACCTGTATTACAACACTCACCGGAAGAAGATCAGGGTACAATGATCGAAACGCTGGAACAATAACATCCAAGATATAAAACAAGGACGCTAATCCAAGTGAATTGGTGTTGTAACTAAGAGTCTAATAATGTCAAAAATTGGGGGGGGGGGTCGAACCAAAATGACTTGGGCGACATAAAAACAATTTACATCATACCCGCTAAAAAGTAAACATATCCATTGATCCAATCTCCACCAAAAATAATTTTTCAAATAAGCCTTTTTTAAGGCTTATTTGAAAACAGAATAAAAGTTAATTTTTCATTCAATGTTCAAATCCAGATCCTAAAACAAAAAATTGTGAAATTTAAGCTTAATTTGTGTTTGACAAAAGAAGATTCTTTTTTTTTTTTTTAAAAAAAAAAAACTTAATTAAATTAAGGAGGCGGTGCTGAAGTGTACTCAACCCGAACACTTCCCAAAATCAATATTTTAATGTTTGATTATCGAAATGCTGATTTTGAGAAGTGAGGCGGGCCGAGAACTTATCATCCCTTTTTAATTAAATTCTTTCAAGATGATCCATCCCCGAATTGGCTTAAAAAATAAATCCTACACCTAGTAACCCTTTTCACGTCTCAAGAAATTTTTTTTTAAGTGTCTTTAATTGTTGAAATTAGTTCCTTTTTTTTTTTTTTATATCATTTCATTCTTAATTTTCCAACAATTTACAGACACTACTACAGTTTTTACACCTTCCCAGCCTTGAACATTTCCTGTTTGGATGTACAGACTCTCCAATCCAAACCATCATCATACCAATTGCAATGTTCTCTGATGAAAAAAATCCGTTGTTTCATTTTTCTTTTCAAATGTAATAAAAGTATTTTTTTTTCTAAAATTCTTTTTATTCTAATCTGAAATTTTTCATTCATATTTTTGTATCAATTGCGTAAAAACTGAAAAAGAAATTCATATTCACTAAAAATTTTATTTACGTCACGATCTATTGAAGAAAAAAAATTAAGTTTTCCTCTCTTATAATTTCTGGTAGATTTGTTTTTAGCTATAAAAATGATAATGAAAGTAAAATTAATAAAACTGACAAAAATTGAGCGACAGAGAAGGAATAACGTTGCGACGAATGCAAATCATTATCATCAGTTTTTTTTGTTTGTTTTTTTTTTGTTTTTTGGTCCAATTATTTCTTTTCCAATGAAAAGAAAATTGCACTTTAATTTTTTTATTGATATTGGCGAGTTATTAATTTTTTTGTCAATAAATAAGGTCGCTTGCATACCTTTATTTCTAATGTTAATTTCTATAGTTCATTATTTTTCTTTTTACGATTTGATTCATAAAATTGTACAGCAACACGAAAAATGGAGAAGATACAATCTCTAAGGAGAATCATCAAAAGACAACGAAAAGTCTGTTTTTATTTTATTTCGGATACATATGCGTATTTGTATTGCAATTAAATCAACCAGGTAATCGATTTAACAGAAGAAAAATCTACGTTAGCAATTAATCAAAAAAATAATAATCAAATAGACTAATAGTTCTAACATTCAAAAAACCCGTGATTACTTGGTGGTTGCATGTATTGAAAAACAATATTAGAATTATATTGAAAACAGTGTATTCCATGTGTAAACTTAATAAATTGAATGATCGGAAATAAATAAGAATATATACCAATCGTATCTCCAATAAAGTAAGAAAGGCCACTTATGCCTAAAAAATAAAAAGATTTAAAAAAAAAAAAAAACATACACAGACACACACGCATTTTTTATACAATCATATAAAAACGAGAATAGTAATACGCACCTCCGATCCGTAAACATTTTACAATAATATTTATATACAATTTATATATTATAAGTGCTATAAAGTATGAATATATGACATATGCATTAAAATGAATGAGTGAGATAGGATAAAGAGAGAGAAGTCAGTCTAGGATGATTATTAACTATCTCACTAAAAGGAAAGTTGAAATGAAATTGTCGAGACAATCAACAAGAGTTACCTCCCTCACTATAATTATTTTCAAACGGCTACAAAAAAATTGGCTTTTATCTCCAAAATATAATAAATAAATCGTTAACTGTTTACAAGAATAGAATTGACTGAGAATAGGAAATAAATATCATTGGGATGATAAGTGTGCAATAAAAGCTCAAGAAGGCAAATAATTTAAATTTGAGGGATCAGTTGTAATTGTTGCACACGACTTGTTTTTCCCTAATAGTTACTAACAGATAAATTCAAAGAATTACCTGCAAAAAAACTTAATCCGCCATAATTGCAAAGAAAATAAATACTGATAAGTATACACGTTGATAATGATTACTTTACACAATTATGAACATTTTATCTAAGTAAATTAAACCCATCGAGCATGGCAAACAAGTTGCCTGATGTCACTCGCAGCACCCGATGAAACACGATCGCTGATTGGCTCATTAGAACTTTTGTGCCTGAATTAATCCAATCAAGTACCAAGTTTATCATTTCGCCGGTTTGGATTGTATCAGTCCCTTCTGAATATATTTCTTAAAAAATAACTTGGAAAAAGAAAAATTATCTTATAAAAATAATAATTTTGCTATTAAAAAATAAAGTTTCATGCTACACAAAAGTAAAACCCTTCCAAATACTACAAAACAATGCGTTTTAATAAATCAATTTTTCTACTTAAAATATATTGTATAATTTCTAAAATACAACAATTTTATTTTTAAAATTCAATTTCCATTTGAATGAAACAAATATTTCTAAATATAAATATAAATTTATATTACAATATATATCATTGCCTCCAATTTCATTTATATTTCTAAAATATGGAAAATTAAAGGAAGTATTTTAGAGAAGATCTTTGAACTTGACACCGTTAATAAAGATGTGCGTGAGAAAACCGAAGTGCTGATCGACCGGCATGGAATTAGAAAATTATCGAGTTGAAAAGGTGAATTCAACTTATGCTTGTCTCTGTTATCTGCTCAAATAATTCTCTTACTTCGTAAAATAATTAAAACTATTTTAGATTTTGTTCTTTCTTTTAAAAAAATATCACAACGGAATTAGACTAGTCTTTTTTAACGAAGTAATTCTGTGATAAAAATTTCCGTTTGCTGCTTCGTTCTGTTATCAATTTTCTTATTTTTAAGTCCAGATTTATTATAAAATTAATAATTTTTGAACGAAGCAAACACTTAATTATGATTGATGATAATTTCTAAATTATAAAGTTGCTCAACATAGTCTAATCATAAACCCCCTTTTTTATTTTTACAAACAAAACAAGTTTTCTATTTTCACAATGATTGAAATTCCTTACGAATTATCTGTTTTGATTAATTTCACGTTGTTTATCAGACTCCCGAATTCGTTAAAGTATTTTAACATTTACTTGAAAAGGACCATAAAATTGAAAATATTTATTTAGTATTTTTGTACTTATGAATGATTATTCTTGTTAGACAAAATCTCGTTTCACTCCACACACAACAACAAAACGAAAATTTTAGTTGCATTTCTTTTTTCATTACTAATGTAGTTATTAATAGTTAATTTTAAGTGTTTCCATCCTGCTTTAATTAAGGAGGAAAGAAATATTTTTACTTTTTTCTAACAGTAAATATTTTTATATAATTCCAAATTTTCTTTTAAATTATCAAATTTTTAAAGGAAAGCCAACCATTGTACGAGTCGATCTCTAAAACAAACAACTTTTATTCTTTTTTTTTTCGGTCACGTCGTCGGATGATCTTGGAAGATTATAGCATTTTTAGGTTACAATAGGGTTTGATTTTCAAAAAAATATGTAAAGAAAGATTTTTCAGGTAGTTTCAGAAATTACAGATCTTGACAATTGCAGTCTGAGCTTTAGAAAAAATTTAAAAAAAACAAGACATAACCCATATAGCAACAAGTGGTTAAAAAGACTTTGAACATTGAAATTTTAATTAAAAATCAGTAATTTAACTTAATTAAGTTAAATGAATTATGTAATTTAAAAAGCAACATTCAATATTATGTTGTTCATATGAATATATCTTCAAAATGTTTCATTATAATTATTTTAATTTAAACCCGGTCTTAAAGTGGACGACACCTCCACGGACTTCTGAAAAAAGAAAGACAAAAAAACTAAAAAAAAGCATTTTAAAATTTTAAATGTCTTCTCTGAAGTTTAATCGTAGTTCCATTTAAAAGGATAATAGTTAAAAAAAAATTAATCCGTAAAAATAGAAAAATTATTTTAGACATTATTAAAAAAAACAAAAAAAAAAAAACTCCGCCCAGTGAATTTGATGGATGTCGACAAAAAAAAGAGAAATTAAAATACAATTCGTAAAATAAAAAAAACATGTCTTAAAAATCTAATGTCTGTACAAGATATATGTTTCGAAGAAAATAGTGAATTTATGGATTAATTAATTAAATTTTGTAAAAACATTACTTACTTGTTCCTTATCACAAAAATACATTTTCCATAATCGGGCATGTTCTCCTCACTTGTCAACAACATATTCAAAGGTCAAACAATTATTGCCCTCACTAATTTTTAGACATAATGCCACAAAATAATAACAAGAAGGAACAAAAAAATTCAGACAAGAGAAATTGTACAAATAGATTTTTATAACAAATGTACAAAAAAACAAAAAAAAACAATACTTAAGTTATGAATGTTTAAAATGGTGAAATAAATTTTTTGAAGTTTTGAGAACAATAAGATCTGAATCCTATTATGGCTTACTTCATCACATTAATTTAACTTTGATAAGAAAACAGGACTACACAAGACATTGTTGCACATAAAATATGTATCAAGATGTAGAATATAAAACAACGATGTGAAAGAAAACATGCATTTAAGTAAGAAAGGTTGAATTAATCAAGAGTTGCCTCCCTTTGCTTACAATTTAAGAGTTCAGAGAGATAATTATTTGGTTTAAAGTTCACTGGATAAATGAGTGTTTCATGATATGATTGTTCTTGTGATATTACTGTTGAAAAGTATTGTTGTGTCAAAAGAAGTTTTTAGTGAAGGTGTGCAAATTATCATCAGCGTGTGGGTGAGTGAAAAGGGTGGCGTGTTGTTAGAACTGGAGTTCCAACTGTTGTAGATTTGTTTAGCGGTTGAGGTCTCATTAATTGAGATGAGAAAAATCTTGGCTTAAATAAGCGACTATAGGCTCTGATACATTGCATGGGAAAAATTATTCTTCATGTGCAAATGATCTGATTGGTTGGCATCAATCAATCAGCGAGCAAGCTTTGGGGAGACTTAAGGAAGCTTCTGTGAGCCACTTCTCCCAAAAGAGCACAAATTTGTCAACTTAAAAAATAAAGCAATTCCAAAATTGTTGTATTACTGTGATTTGTAAATTGCCTGTAGAAAATGTATTGGTGATTTATTAGCCAATGATCGTTTGGCATTGTACATGTAATTTTGTGTTTGTATGTATATGTTCGTACGTAAGTAGATTCGCATACTATAATTCAACTCTGCTTCTACTCTATAAAATTCAGAAGACTATCTATTAGAAAAGTTTGTGTGGAAGTATTTTTCAGGTAAGTTACCCTTAAAAAAACAAGTGATTTCTTTATCTTCATTGTATTTCTAACATTATTATAATTTAATGACAACAAAAAATCAGACAAAAATACTATCAGTATCAATCGACTAGTCAATTTAAAAAGTAAAATTTCCGGTTATTTTTGGTGGCACCCCAATTTCAGCAAGGCAAATCAAGAAAAAATGAGTAATTAGTAAAATTAGTGAACTGATATATGGCATATAAGACAAAGGGGAATTTTAAAAGATATTTTTAGTAAAAAAAAAAAAAAAAAGTGTGCCTTATATGCTGTTAAATATGGTACTTTATTTTATCAAATTTATCTGCAACAACCATGATCTGAAAGAGTTTTAAAATCAATTGTAATGTCAATTTTTCACAAACAAATATATATTAGAGTTCTTTTCTAATTAAAATTAGTTATTAACAACTCTCTACAAAAATTAACTTTAATTCAAATTCTTTTCTTAAAATTTTGGACAATATTTTCAGTGTTTCACAGTCAATGTTAATTATTTTTTTTAACTATATAATATCTTCAGGGATTTAACTTTATAAAAATTAGCAACATCTAAAATTCACTAGTACGGATTAGCCACAAGTTAAGTAAAGGTGGATATAACTGACCTGAAAAAGATTTCTAAAAACTTAAAAATGAAAAATAAAGCACTCAATATAAAGTTCATTCATTAATGAATAAATGCTGAAAGTTTCAATGAAATCTAATAAATTCATGACTTTTGGTAAATTTTTAAAAACTGGGTATCTTTCTTTTGTGTTGAAAGTGCACAAGATTTTGGACATGAGGGCCTACAATAAAAAATAAAGTTATTTTAATTTGTTATAAGTTGGGATCAGTGCTGGACTGTGTTACAGAAACCTGCAAAAATTCCACTGCTCACAGCCTGGCAGATTTTGAGTCTCACATTTAACCCTCCTCAGCACTCTGCATGTTCATCATTACTGCAAACAGCTGTGAATTCTTCACATTTTTCAATACTATTACGCACATTTCAGCACTGATCACAGTACTTGAACCATCTTTGTTCGTAGTATAATTTGAATGGAGGACAACTTATCTTAGCTGATACGTTTCCTTGTTATAGAAAGTTAATCTAGTGAGAGTGACCCTATTTGAGTACCATATTATTTAGGATTTGTACCAGACAAGTCTAAGATTACACACAACAACATATATTAATTTCTTTACGAATTTGTGTGTGTGTGTTGTTCCTTTGCAATGCTGTGTTTTATGTTAATCAGAATGGCTGTTCACAAACATTTGTAATAAGAAATCTAAGAAAATGCATCTTCTGCATGTTGTCATTTCAGAACATGTACGATCATGGCTCTCCACAACTCCCTATCCCTTGTAGCCCTTAGAAATGTTTCTCTCTTTGCCAAGCCTCCCACCCTCTATTCCACTATACATTCACACAGGCTTGTCAGGTAGTTGGTCCACTGCCTTCCCCTATTTCCTCTTGTTCTCAATATGCCCTGTGAGTGTCAAATTCTACAAACCTTCTTTCCTCATATGTACAAAAATTTCAGCCAGCTGTCTCTTTCTAATAAGTGTCTTTTTTTTTTGTTTCCATTTTATTTAATACTTTTCCTGTGCATATCCATCCATGGTATTCTCAGCATCCTTCTGTAGAACCACATTTCTGTTGCCTCTAATTTTCTCTTCATCTGTGAGGAGATTGTCTGACATTCACTCCCATACAAGAAGATTAATATTACATAACAGTTTCAAGCTGAGTAACAACTCTTTTCTTTGTTTCTAACAAAATTTTCCTGTTTCTTAATATTTTGTGAACGTTTTCCAGAGCATGGAACCACCTCTTAATTGTTGTTGTTCCAAGCTCTACCCTGACCCAGTTAGGGTTCCAGTTATGGACAAACAATGACCTTCCCCCCAACAAAAACAAAAGCTATGAATGTATAAAAATACCAGCAATACATTTTTATATAATAAAAATTATCAACAATACATTTTATCTGTAGTTGAAGGCATACAATTGCATTCAAAATATATTTAGTTGAAGCCATAAAATTGTGTTCAGAATATTTAGATTTCAGCATTAAATAACTCATAGAGGTGTTGATATGCCACTAAACAAAAATCAGTCTTAGTATTTTGTTTAGCTTTTGTGAATACATCTTTTGTTAATCCAATGTGCATTCAGATTTCAATGTTGTATTTTCCATCTCCCATTAGAACACTCTCCAGATATTTAAACTTTTGTACTTGTTTGATATTGACATCTTCAATTCATAGTTCACATCTTGGCTTTTTTTATTAGTGATAGCCATGCATTTTATTACAGTTGCTGGTTAATCCCTTGCTTTCTTTCACTACCCTCTCTAGTGTTTTTTTTTTTTTTTCTGTGTCTGCCATCAACACCATGTGTCATTTGAGTATCTTCTATTGTTAAGATAACATCCACCAATGTTAAATCCCAAACAGCTCCCTTAGATAGCCTTGCCGTAGAGATTGAACAAATTTGGTGATTTCTCTTATGCCCCTACATCTACTCAATTTGTTTTTTGTTTTTTTTTTTATCCATATGCAGGGGGGTTGCTCCGGATTATTCATACATTCTTCTCAAAGAGATCCAGTTTTTCTAACATTTCAAATAGAATTTTTAATTTTTCTTTTTTTTTTTTTTATACCTCTTTCTGCATTTGTATTGCACTCTCTAGGGCAGTGGTTCTCAACCTTTTTTTACCCATGGACCACTTTTATTCCTAATTTTTTTTTGGGCGGACTCCCATAATTATTCAATGAAAAAAAGTTTTATTTTTTACTAATAGATAAGTTTAGGAATTTTTTGTATTATAGAAATAGTAAATGTATATACCTTATTTTGAAGTGAAACTAATTTCATGAAAATAAACTTGTATCTAACAACTAAATTCTATGGAATATTTATGTACACTTTAAAATATGTGAGTAATTAAGCTGCAATTTGATATTTTTTTTGTGTGGACCCAGTAATGTTACATGTCACCCAGTTGATCTCCACTGCTCTAGAGCCTCTCATTAAGGGTTATTTATCCACACACCTATTTGAACAAAACACTGTGCAAGAAGAATGAGTTTAAAGTGGGATCCCATGCATACATGGACTGGGGACTTTTCCACTGGAGTCACTGCAGGGACCAGAGATTAATCCTAGCCTCCCACCTCCCAAAAGGAGAGGTATTCCTCATTAAGTAATTATAGTTTATTGTACTTTTACTTATAGATATTTTGTTGTTTTTTTTTTTTCGACAGGCTCCGCCCACTATTTATTATATCCCAGAATTCATCACAAAAGAACAAGAAGAGACTTTGCTGAAGCAAATCTATGCTGCCCCAAAGCCTAAATGGACACAGCTCTCCCACAGGCGATTACAAAATTGGGGTAATGTATTGTCTATAATTTTATGAATCATTACCATTTAAAAATATTTCTGAACAGTTGGACTCTTTTTTTATCATTTTTGATGTTTCCACATTTTGTCCGATCCATTCTATGGCCTTCTTCAGGTGTACTACTCATATGAAAAGAGACAGTGTTTTTCTTTTTTTTTCAGTTTTGTAAAGCAAAAATAAAGTAGCATGCAGAAAATTTAAACATTATCAGTAACACTTGTGAAATATTCTACTTTCAGCAACATGCATAACACAACTAGATTTTTCTTTTTTTTAAAGTCCATCCAATACTGGGCTTGAGAGATGTGGCACTGTGGAATTGCAGCACCCCCTATTTTTACTGGATATTATTTATAACATTCATTGTAATGAGTCTTTTATTTCTTTAATTCTTTCTTTATACATTATATAATCTTTAAGCTTAATGTCAGTAGCCATCCCCTCATTCATGAAAAATTACAAACACCCTTGTGTGGAACTGTGTGCTTCACAGTAATGTGGTATTTGGCTGTTGTATGCATGCACACATGTCCAAGGAAAAAATCTGAATCCTGGTTAGAAAAAGCATTGTCGCTCATGTAGTATAGACTCACTCTGTTGTCCGAGTATAAGGTAGTGTTTATTTTTTGACTGTTGTGCTTAAAGACTGTGTACCATATTCTTGAATGTGATAAACACCTGATATTCAAATATCTCAGCCAGGAATAAGCAACAACAAGAAGTATATTCGTAGTTTTAACTCTGAATGGTACCAATGGAAAAGTTGGCTATGTGGCAGTAAAGTGAAAAATGTGCTGATTTGCTACCTGTGGTGATGTAACATGGACAAAAGATGGTTTTAGGAATATAAATAAAATGAAAGAAAAAACTGAAAAACATGACAAGTCAAAGAAGCATATTGAAAATGTGGTTTCACTGTCACTTTTAGGAAATGTAAATATTAAGGAGAAACGTATTGAAGCATACAGACTTTCAATTAATGAGCCTAACATGAAGGTTAAAAAGAACTGTGAAATTTTATCCAAAATAATAAACTGTATTCTATTTTGTGGAAACTTTGGAACTCCCTTATGTGGACATGATGAAAAAGATGATTCAGTAAATCCAGGGGTATTTAGACAATTAAATTTTGCATCTAAATTAAATCCAGATTTGAAGAATCACTTAGAAAGCAGTACAGTTTTCGAAGACCATTCAGATTGAGATGCTTGACTATCTGCTACAAATATGCCATCAGGAGATAAAGATGGGAATTAGGGAAGCTTCATTTGTAGCTGTCAGGGCTGATGACACAGCAGATATTTTGGAACATACCCAAATTGGTCATTGTTTGATGGTATGTGTCGAATGAAGAAATATTTGAGCGTTCTTGGGGATTCTTTATTCTAGGAAATCAAACTGAAGATGTCATCAAAACGTATTCTAAAACAATTAGACATAATCATTCAAGGAAATGGACAGAAATTGTTAGCTTAGACATTTGATGGTTCAAATGCCATGAAAGTCAAAAAAGTAGGAATTCAAGCAAAAATAAAAGCAGTTTATAGTAATGCACATTTCATTCACTGTTATGCACATCAACTTAATTTAATAATGAGAAATGCACCAAGTATTACATGAAACGCAAGAATATATTTCTCTAACATTTTAGCTATTTTAACATTCTTCTCAAGATCATCACAATGTATATTCATCCTCAATGTCAGAATTCCATGTCCATCCTCTACAAGGTGAAACTTTAATATACAGACTGTGAACAGAGTTCATAAAGAGTTCATAAAAATTTGCAATAGGAATTTTACAATACCTGAATGATGATTTCATGTTTTGATTAGAGCTTTTTTTATTAGATTATGCCTCATGTTGAAGTACACTATTTACATTATGTTCTAGTTCCACGGGCCATGTCTAATGGATGTCAGTTATCTCCTGTTAATTTCCCTCTGAAAGTTCTCCACTGCCTTAACCAGGTATTGAACTCATACTCTTTGAGTCCTGTCACTGGATCTAACTAACGCCTTTATCTACTTTGCCATGTGTCCTGATATCCATTAGGCATGGCATGTGGAACTAGAAGTCTACTCCAGTGAGCGAAATAAATGGTTCAGTTTGACATTCCAACCACCTGAAGAAGGCAGGAGCGTACAACAGCCGAAATGTTGTAATAAATATGGTGACAAAGATGTGTACAATAGTCCGAATAATGTAAATAGTGTACATAATACCTCATCTCAGAAATATAGACAGTTACCAATGTTGAAGTAATTTACAACAAAATGGAATCTTTAGAAATTAGTGTGTTTAAAGTCAATGTATATATAAGTGATTTCAAAACTGATATTTTAGAAATAAGACACTCAAAGTATTGTGAGAATCCTTCAAAGACATTAACAGCAGAAGCAAAGGAAGTGTGTGACTGCATGTGTTGACATACAGGACAGATATTCTTCCACTAAACACTTAGTAACTGTTAAATTGTTCAACAAGAAAAGTTTCACTAGTTTTAAGAATGAACTGCCTACATAAGAGATAGTACAGACCACTGAAGCATATCTCATGATTGACAAGAAAAGCTTACAACTGAACTAAAAGTATTCTAGTGTAGATCCGAAATGCATGAATGTTGCAAATTAATTGAGCTGCTGAAATTTATCTTTGATAATAATCTAGAAGGTGTTTTTAGTGAAATTATGAAACTGATAAAAATCCTCTTGACAATTCCTATAACTACATCAGAGCCAGAATGCTGCTTTACAACACTGAAAAAATAAAACTTTTCTAAGCAGCACAATGAATCCTGAAAGACTAAATACACTTGTAATGCTTTCAATGGAGAAAAATTCCTCAACAGTCATTCAGGGATGAAAAAGAAAATTATTAACCTTTTTACTCAAAGTAAACAAGTAAGTAAAAAGTAATCAAGTTTATATATAAATCTTCTTTTTATATGTTTGTTTCATCTAATCTTCCTCCACAAGACTTTATAAAGGGTTTTGAACTCTATCAAAGTGGGAAAGTGAAGATTGAGCAGCAATACTCCATTTTGGGTCTAATCTGACTCTTGTAAAGATGAAGCATCACAGAAGGACTGGAAAGTGAAAATTGAGCAGCTCCGGCCCAGATATGACAGCAATACTCCATTTTGTGTCTAATCCAACTCTTGCAATGATAAAACATGCCAGAAGGAGTCAGGTACTTTCTGGAGTGATAAAATGAGCTGACCATTTTCCCAGCCACTTTTAGATGTTTTCACTCCTTTGTTCGTCAAAGAATTCCATTCCAAATCCCTGTTGAACATAGTGTCATTCCTTTTTTGTTGCTCAATTTTCATTACTGGAAAAACAAAAAAGGCATTCATTTCACTGAAAATCTCTTTAAATGGCGTAAAATCAGTGGAGTACTGAGTGTTTATGCCACCACCAGGGAATTTTTAGAATTAGCTGCCCCTCTAAACAACCATTTCAAAATTAGACATCTACTTTCATCAGTGGCATAGCTAGAGTAAACGTCACCCGGGGCAGTCTGCTCAAATGTCACCCCAATGAGCCCGATTCACCCTATGCTGAATGGTTAGCTGTAGCTAAATTTTCATACATGCTCTACCTCTACTTTACTCTACTGACCAGTACATTACTGTTTACATGTATGATCCAAGACAAAATCCAATACCACAAAATAATCAGTTCAAATCAAAAGATTTTTAAAATGCAACTGTTCACTTTCAGAACAACTAAATACAAAACACGGCAATACACAAAAGAATGACATTCGATACTATGGTCTTAGAATGAAGGTTTTCTTGTTTTCATTGTGGCAAACTGATCAATGACATTGTCAAAATCTGTTTGTCTTGTAAGTTCGTTTTCAATGGACAGCACAGCCAGATCCGACAGTCTCAACTGGCTCATGGTTGACGTAATTTTCTGTTGCTAATTTTCTGGTGTCCAATTTTCCGTTGCATCATTTTCTGGGTACCATTTAATTATCAATGATGTCTGAAAGTATTTTTCTTGACAAAAATGTTCTATTTAATTTTTAAGCATTTTTCGTAACATTGTAAATCAACTGCATTCTTTTAAAGGTTACCTAGAAAATTTATGCAAAGTTTATTTTTTTGTTTTTCTTTATACAAGTAAAATAAATTTACATTGTATTTTGATGTTATTATGATTTTAGTTTTAGTGATAATTTAAAAACAATAAATATTTATCATTAGTACCAATAATGGAAAATTAAGTTAAGAATTTAAAAGAATCGTTTTTAGAATCGGAAAATAGGCACAAATTTTTCTGATACCCCAAAAAGTTCCGATTTTTCCGATTCTCTATTCCGATTAATCGTCCCAACACTAGTAGATATATTCAAAAGTATATCGCTCACTCAATGGAAAATTGTATCTCAGCTTAATTGATACACAGGCAAGACTGAAATTGTTTCACTTTTTGGCTTTGTATTTCGCTTTTGTTGTTATTAATGATGCAGAGTTAAAACACCATATCATCCGATAAAATGTTACAACAATGTCTCTTGTTAGTAACCAAGATTGTAGCAACTGAAACACATGAAAGCAGAAAACATTGCTATTTTTCCTACTCACAAATTTCCCAATTTTTTTTGAAAATTTCTGACGGGGGACAAAACTGGGGGGTCATATGCCCGCCTCAAGAAACCCTGTGTCTCCACCAATGTTTTCAGACTATTTTTGCACCTTAGCCTGGTTGAAAAATTTTTGTTGGGGTGACATTGTGTCACCCCTCCTGTGTTGGCACCCGGGCGGTCCCCCCACCCCCTTAGTTACGCCACTGACTTTCATTACAACAATATGCTACTACATTATGCTAATTCACTTAAATTCCACATCCCTAACATTTGCTGTTCAGGCCAAACTGTGCCTCTTGTCCTTGCTCTAGGTCTGCCAATGGGTAAAATTCTTTTTTTAACATATCTCTCACTCTATGAAAACCTATTGGAATAGAGTGTGGGTTATCTCACTTGGCTTTGCCAAAATGCATACTAGGGGGCACTCTTTAAACCTGTAAATAGGCAATGATATTCTCACCCACCCTCTTTTTTGTCTTTTCAACTTTTGCTTTTAGATGCAGTTGCATGTGGGTAAAGTGTCACCCATTAGAGCATGTTCATTTTCATGGTTTTCTCTCTCTCTCGACTTTTGTACTTTTTCACATACACACACATTCCTATTATAACTAGTTTTATTGGGTTTTTTTTGTTTGTTTTTTTCCTTTTATTACAATTGTCTACACATGTAATTCCTTTCGTTAATGCATATATTGTTGTTTGTTTTATATTTATTGTTTTATATTATTCATTTTTACTTGGACTCACATTGAGTCTGCCAATATTGGTTGCAGATAAATATTCCAGGAACCCATAAATATTTACTATCCAGAGTGTTGATTGCTGCAACATAATGGTAATTAATATTTATGTAAACATACAAGTATCCTGCAATAAGAGTCAGGTTTATTTTAACACATTTCTACCAATTATATCTTTTACTCAGTTATTTAGTCATTTACCAGTTGCATGCGTTGCTTCTCTTCAATTTTTTCTTTTTTCATTCAATAAATCAAGACAAGTTCAAGTCACTTATCTGGTTGACTGGCTCAAGAGTTTCAACATAAAATTCTTGAGTTGGTCAATCAGGTAAGTCACTTGAAATTTTCTTCATTTAATATTATTAAATACTGATTCTCAAAAGAAATTAGCATACATTGATGAAAAAATGCCCCAAACTTAATGAAAACAAAGTCTTATCAAAATCAAAGGATTTTTTGATTATTAAATTATATTTTTTGATTATTTTTAAAACATTCAAAATTTTGGTTAAAAAACTTTTTTTATTTTTTTCACCAGCACAGTGGCCAAAGATTAAGATATTTTAAAATGTTTTTTTCTTGCAGTGAAAAACACATTGATTTGGAAATTCTTTCAAAATTCAAATAATTGTCAGATTTTAAAGAAACTTTCAAGAAACTTTGAATTAAATTAGAAATTTTAGAAATATTGTTTGTTTTTTATTTTTTTATTTTATTTTTTTTTTTTTTTTTAGAAAATCTTAATAAATTTTTTTTCTTTATATATCTGTTGCCCACCACTTATTTAATTTTATGAAATTTTGAGAAATTCAATTTTATAGTGCTTAATGTTTATATTATTTAACAGCAGAACTCCTTGTAGAATTTAAATAGTCAATATCTTTTTGTAAAATAGGAACCCCAGTTACTGAAAATGTACTCTGAATTTTAAAATAAAAAAATGCCATAAAACTAAGAGATTATTTGATTAGAAAACCTTTTAATTCCTTTTATAAATAAGATATATTATGGACATTATTGTATTAAAAATTCTTTTTTTCAAATGAATAATGAATTTTAACAAAAATTGTTTTCATTTTTTAAAAATTCTAATTCATAAAGTTTTATATCTTTTAAAATTCTGTCTTACTTTAGAGTGATTAGGTGATATTGTTATTAAGTAAAAACTATATTTACTAATCATAAATGGAAAAGATTAGTACAATTCATCTTTTAAAAAGAATTTTGGAATTTTTTTTGTGTGCATAAACATGATATTTTTGTAAATACAGGCATCCATACACAACATTATCAGAAAATAAAAGCAATAACTATAGTAAATTCAAAGCCAAAGTACCTAAAATTCAATAAAATAGAAAAATATATTTTATTTTTAAGAGATTTTTTAATAAAGAGAATTCACATTGCAATGATGGAAGGCTAAAAATGGTGTTAAAATCAGCAATGTTATTGATTTCAAAACAAAATCGCTTTCCATTCAATTTAAATAGTTTTGAAATACAGCCAAGTATTTTGTTTATTGGTAATATTAAATTTAATCTATTAGCTTGAGGTTAAAACTAAAATAAAAGCTTCAAGAAAGAATTTTCATTTTTTAAAATTTATTTTAAACCTTAGGTAGTGTGTTTTTTGTGAAAGTCCCTACATAAAATTTTATCATTGTATATCTACCAGTACATGTTGTATAATGCCTGAATTAGTGGTTTTTGATTAATGACGACAATTATTTTGCATATTTGACTTTAATTTTTTTTTCCTCTTCTTCCTGCTTTATATTCTACTGAAGAATGTTCTCAAATCATCAGTAAATATTTATGCAGATGACATCACAATTTGTGGGTGAACCTCTATATGGTCTATATGATCAGAGTCTGGTAGCTGATCTCTCCTCTTACAGCTTAATGGGAGAAAGACTGGCTTAATACCTTAAAAACCACCAAACGGACCCTGAATTTTCTCCATTTTATGATGAATGGTGGTATTGTTATTTGTTGGGACTCAAGTTCATTTCAGGCCTCAAGTCGAACTCGTATTTAAGATCCATTGCTAAAGATGCTAGAAAAATCTTCAGTTCCTTGTAATGTACCAAAGAGTACCAGACTTTTCCTATCATGCTTTATATTCTCAAAAGCCAAAATATTTACAAACCAAAACTGGAGCATTGCTGCCATATCTGGGCTGGAACTGTCCATTCCTCACTTCCTAGCTTTGTTAGAATTTAAAAGCATTTACGCAGCTGTGTGGGTGATGAATTATATTCCACCCTACAACCCCTTTCCCACAGATGAAATGTTGCTCGCTTCTTGTTACTCTATCACTATTTTCATGGCAAATGTTCAAATGATTTTCATATCTTAGAAAAATCGTCAATTCTTTGTAATTGTACCAAAGAGTACCAGACTCATCCTACCATGTTTTATATTGTCAAAAGCCAAAACATTTTTTGAAATTCATTTTAAACCTTAGGTATTGCAAATCTGTGGAGGTACCTAATATTTTAGCTCTAGTTATCTATTAAGCATCTTTTGGCAGACGTTCTGCAAGCCTGAAAATACATTAAATTATTGTGACTTTCACATATTTTTTCAGTTATATTATCATTATTCATAGTATTATTTCTTTTTTAAAGATATTTTTGATTACTGAATAAAAAAAAAATTATATGAATAATATATCTCTTGGCTTTCAAAAATCCTGAAGATATTTCAATTTAATTGCACAAATTTCTAGTATCAGTTGCTTGCTTTCTTGTTGGCTGCTTCCACATCATACAAGGTTCATTTATGTACCATTACTCATATTTGCTGAATGAAAACAAAACAATTCTTGTAATTTTTACTTTTTTTATTTCAAGTTATAATAATCTTTGTGGTAGAAAAAGCATACAAAGAGGAGCTAAAATTTCTGTAAACTTTTTTCTTTTTTTTTCTTTTTTTCTAGTTTCTAACATTGCCTTTTGTTTTCATTGTAGGAGGCCTCCCTCATCCCAAAGGTATGATAGCTGAACCATTACCACAGGTAATTTTGTACTCTTTACCTTCCTCAGCATTTTTATATCTTCAAAAAAATCAGTAACAATCTAAATGGAAATATGGCATAGTTTTTATCACAGCTTGTATGTTCAATCATTTACCATTCCAAATTGCTAGAATTTATTGTAATATTCTGAGAAACTTGATCTGTTTCTAAAATTCTGGGTAAAAATTGAATAAAAAAGAATCAGCAATATTATTGGTCCTGATCAGGCAGCTCAGCTTCAGTCACTTTTCCACCACACTAAGGTTGCCTCTCTGTATCTTTTCTATAAATACTTTCATGGTAATTGTTCAGATGAGCTCTTTACTATGGTACCTAAACTTTATGAATTTAAGCTCAGTGCTAGACTACTGTCGAGATCTCATCAATTTACAGTCTGGCTAGATGTAACTGTAAGTTCTATGCTAACAGTTTTTCTTGTACTTCTCGCTTGTGGAACTTCCTTCCAGCTCTATCCTTTCCAGCCAAAAATTTAAATGCAATGTCAATCACTGTCTACTGTCCTCCTGATGATTCTTTTCTCTTTCTGCTCATTATTAATGTTTTTGTTCCTAATTCTTCCACAACCTGTAAACCCTTGTGTTTTAGTGGCTTTACTGCCTTGCATGGGGCAATACTGATTTAAAAAAAAAAATTACATCTAGTTAGGCCTAACAATTTGGAAATTTATTTTAATATACCATTATAAATCCAAATATTTTAATTTTGTAAAGTCCATTTATTAGGTGCCTAAAAGACTCTATAAAAAATTATTTTCCCCTGTATGTATTCAGTCTCTAGTTTTCAAAACAAATTCTGAGAATTTTTGCACACACTTAATAGATTACTCATTCATTTTTGTTTGATTTCGTCCTGATTCAAAATTTCTTTTCTCAGATTTATTTTCTCATAAAGAGACATGATTTATGAAATAGCAATTATAACCCTTCTTGGCTTTCAACTGATTTCGTTTTCAACTGACTTCAAGTGGAGCGACTACATCAAATCAATAGCTGCATCTACTGCAAGGAAAGTTTGGTCACTGTCATGCCATGAAGTTTTTCTCTGCAGGGTCTACCCTGCATATTTACAAATCTACCATTCTACATTGAATACTGCTGCCGTATCTAGCCTGGTGTTCCTGCTATTCATCTTGACGTTCTTGACAAAATCCAAAGAAGGATCTGTAATTTAATCAATCCAGAATTGGCATCTCGAGTTCAGTCACTTTCTCACCAACATGATGTGGCTTCTGTCTTTTTTTTTTTTTTTTTTTTTTTTACAAATATTTTCATGACAACTGTTCTGATGAGCTTTTTTTCACTGGTGCCCCAACTGCATGAATTTAAGTGTGCCACTAGATCGGCATCTAAGTCCCACCCGTGTACAATTTAAATAGCTAAATGCAACTGCCACTTCTTCTCCAACAGTTTCTTTTCTCGCACTTCCCGCCTGTGGAACTCACTTCTGTTTTCTGTTTCCCTGATAACTACAATCTTCAAAAATTTTAATGCAACCTTCATCTTCTATCTTCGTGAATCCTGTTCATCTTTTGTCCTCCCTATACTCAGTTTTTTCTCTCACTTTCACTCCGTGTGCTCGTGGCATTCCACTCTTGCTTGGGGTGAAATGATTAAAAAAAAAAAAAATAAGAAAGGAAGAAATCAAGACTCCCTTTCATTATTGAAGAATTTCTCTTATTTTTTTTTCTATAGATTCTAAAATTAAAGTTGTTGTAAGTTAATCCACTTTACATTGAAGACAGATACTAATGCTGTTTTTAACAGATATGAATTTTCTTGTTTTTCAAATAAACTCACTAAACTGTTATAATTATAGTTAACCATTGCCAACAGCCAAGTGTTAACATTAGATAGACTTCTGAGTTACTATTTTGGACTAACAAGTCTCACCAATCTTATATTGGTATCTTTGAAACTAAGTACTTTCTTATTGAATGCTGTCATTGAGGTATTCCCTGGAACTATTTTTTCTGGAAGAAATGACCTTTATATTTTTTTCTAATGTCTGTTTATATTTCTGAGATATGAGGTATTGTAACTATTTACACTATTTACATTGTTTGGACTGTTCTTCTCATCTTTATTGTCATATTCATGATGTTTTGGCTATTGTACGCTTTGGCCTTCTTCAGTAGACAATATGAAGGGTTCAGTTTAAAATTCTAATGTATATCACCTGAAGAAGGCTGGAGCATGTAACAGCCAAAACGTGAATATGACAATAAAGATAAGGACAACGGTCCAAACAATATAGTGTAAATATTCCTCTAATGTATTTAAAATTTTTAAAGACATTTTTTCCTCTTTTTTATTAGTGGCTTCAGGTCTGTGTAAAACAGTTGACTGCAATAAAAGCAATTGACGATAAAATTCCTAATCATGTGTTGGTCAATGAGTATGAAACTGGACAAGGAATCATGGTAAGTCACTTATTTAGAGGAGATTTGGTTATTATTATTTGACAACCATTATAAGTGAACTTTTTTATATTCATCTCACTTAGTGATATGACTTATTAGAACTGTGTTGCTAAAGACCTAAGTCATACAAAACAAAATGTAAGTTCAAATTATATTAGATATTAAAGCATGCTGGTTCAAATAACAAATACATAATAATAATAATATTAATTCCTCATCTCAAAAATTCCAACAGAAATTTGAAATCTTCTATAAAAATGAAAACTAATAGTTTTCATGTTAGAATTATAGTTAACCATTGCCAACAGAAAAAAAAAGTCTCAGATACCAAATATGGTATTCAGGTCTTATAAAAACTGAATGGCTGAAGTTTGTTTTGTGATGTTGGACAGCTTCACTTATCACTTTTTCTATGTCAAACAAAAGCACATTATCACTTCCAAAAATGCTTGTTATATTCGAGACTTTGTAGATGCCAATGCTCATAGTAATGCCTTCCTTCTTTCTCTTTCATCTTTAAATTGAACAATTTGTTAACTCTTTTATTTTCAGCCCCATGAAGATGGTCCATTGTTTTACCCAACTGTTGCAACCATCAGTCTTGGTTCTCATACATTTTTGGATTTTTATCATCATTTGAACAATGTTGAAAACAATGAAGCACAAGTGAGTAATGACTTTTATTAGAAATTATCAAATTTAAATTAATTACTTTATTGGTGTACATTATAGAATAGAATTTTAGTAAATGTTATGTTGCCTAACATTGCATGTATACAATGTACTAATCTAGATAGTGAACTGTTATGTTACTGTTTAATAATGTATTGGAACCAATTTCATTATAACTAAATTTATACAAGGGGATGCTGAAAAGTTTTAAGTCCTACTAAGAAACCTTTCCAAAAATATGAATTTCGAGTTTTGCCATTTGGTCAGATTTTACAATGTTAGTTGGATCATAAGTATTTTATGATATCAAACTGATATACAGATTTCTAAATTAATTTTTACCTTTTTCTGAAGGAACTCATTATCAATGTTTTTTGATTTGTATGTTACAAATGTTTTAAAGTTTTATTTTAATTACCATCTAAATATATACCAAATCAAATTTGAGGCTTCTAACCTTAAATGTGATTTAATAAAAAGAAAATATTCATTTACTTTACTTTTTCTTTACTTATATTACTCCATTATTCTTATAATATTCTAATAAACTGACATTCAAATTTATGGGTATCAACAGTTTATTTTATTTAATGCTCAATTTTGTTAATGAAGCAAGAGTTGCAATTAAATTATACTTATGTCCCTTTGTAAGCATTTCCCGTTGAATGTTTTGCTTTGCATATGTACATATTTCATAATTTACTTTAGTATTTGTAATTCTGAATAATTAACAAGCAAATATTGTGGCTGTAAAAAAAAAAGCCAAAAGAAATTGTCACTCGATAAAGTCTTGATTTGTTTGCTCGATTATTAAGGAGATTTTCAGCATTTTTAGATTCATTTCTACACACAAAATTATTTAAGCTCAGAGGTCTGATCTTGAGCAAGCAGTTAAAGAATTTATGTCAAGGGAAAACTACACACTCAGTATTTACCAAGATGACCTTTGTCTTACACAAGGTCACAATTGTGGAGCACTTAAAATCAAACTTGCTACTTTAATAATGGTCAACATAACTGATGTTACTGATGACTGCTCTGTATCAAATGACCAACAAGACACATTTAATTAAAACTTTTTTTCACTTATGCATCACCATTGCCATGATAAAATTTGATACATTTACAGACATTTAATTTCAGTGGCTTGCTGAACTTTGCCAACTGTAAATATATTGTATTCTTTTCCAAAGAATTTTCAGAAATAATTTATCTAAATATAATAAAAGAAAACATAGTGTAGTAATCCATTCTGCTATTCCTTAGTGCTCAGAAACATTTACAAACATACCATATATACTCATGTATCATGTGACTTTTGAAGACCTAATTTTGAAGCTAATTTTAAGAGGGTTGACTCATACATGAGATATAAAATTAACATATATACTACTGGCCCTGGGTATGCTGTTGACCAAACAATATATTCCATGCTTATTTATGTCTTTTTGGCATTCCATCTCTAATCTGAAATAAAATTTCAATAACATTAGACAACAGTTTCACAGGATGACTAGAGTTGGTAAAAAGCAAAGAATGCCACAAAAGATTATTCTTCAAGATCATTTGCAGAACAACAGAAAAAAAAATGTGTTAAACCTAATATTATTATACTTTCCACTATTGACAGGAGTTTCCTTCCCAGCCTTTTGTATGAAGTTGTGTGTAATATCAGCATCTTGATTCTGTTATTATATAATACTTCTACTGAGACATTATTGTTGGTCATGGTTTATAACTCCACTGCCCAAGGTCACAAACTGGTTTATGACGGTATTTTTTAATAACACTTCTACTTCTCCAACCCACAGTTGCCAGGGTTTTATCATTTATGGCCGTTGCTTCTAGGTGGTTGGGTCACTACTTCTTCATTCTAGCTGATAGTTAATTCAGTAATTTTCTATCAGAAACGTGTTTTTTAGATCCTGGAAAAGATGTATCTGACAAAAACTGCCAGATCTCTCAAACAAGATTAAATTGACCCTAATAGTCAGATTACAGCAGTATTATAATTTCTGCCAACAAATAAGTCAACTTATAAACAATAACAAGTTGGTTTAATTTGATGTTGGCAATATTCACAACTGTTGCTACTGTGAGTGCAAACATTAGCAAAACAATATGGGAACACTGGTTTAATTAAGTTCTCTGTAATTCTGTCTGGCAAAGTAATTATTACTGAAAAGCACTATGATTAAGTAAAGTCTTGCTTCTGATGACTTTTTTAGTGACTTCTAATGACTGTATGTGGATCCTGACTCACTCCACTTCTCCAACTGGCTTAAAAAAAATCTTCCCAACTGACTGGCAACTGCACACCTGAATAAACAGAGGTTTCTGCGTAATTCCTTCTGACTGTTCAATTCTGACCATGTGATTCCCCAGAGGTGGTCTTAATTCACACATGGAACCTCCCAATTTAAGCACCCATGCAATTTTGGGAATTCCCCAATTTCCTGCACACATGCATTCACCATGTCCTCTTGACCTTGTCAACTGTTTAGTCAAAATACCTATTGCATCCTGGGTATGACGATAAACTATATCTGTGTCCAGGGTAAGACGATAAACTACATCCAACAGCAAGGATTCTGATCAGGAGGCTTTGAGGAGTATGGAACCACCTCTTAATTGCTGGTGTTCTCAGGTCCACCCTGACCCGGGGTGGTAGCACCTGTTAGGGTCCCAGCTATGGGCAATATAGTTAACCATGAAACTGAGGTAAAAAGCATTATAAAAGTGTAAAAATTGGTTTTAATACTAGAAATACTTTGTAAAAAATTGTTACCAGAAATAAATTTTTGAAGAAAAAAAATTACCAGCAATATGTTTTTGAAAAAAAAAAAACTATTACCAGCAATATGTTTTTGAAAAAATAATATTACCAGCTATACATTTTTGAGGAAAAAAATATTAACAGAAATAGATTTTTGACAAAACAAAAATATTACCAGGAAAAGAAAAGTTGTCGGCATTAAATGACCCATTGGGGCTGATATGTCATAAAACAAATCAAACCAAACCAAAATACCTATTTTTTCAAATTGTGGTTACCATATTCTGAATTATCCCAACCTCACAGCTTTGAGTGAATATACTGTTCTAAGTCATGAGAATTGTCATTTTCATTTTAATCCTTACCAAACCATTTAGCATAGTTTTCCAAAATCTGCAATATTCTCATGTCCAATATTGTTACAATTATTCTCTCTTCAAGATATATGTGCTACCCATTTTAGTTGTGGTTGCTGTTGAATGTTTTCAAGTGATATGGTTTCTGTTATCAGATACAGTTTTTTGTTTGTGATTCTGTAACACTAGTCTATAAGGTTTGAAGAAGAATGATCCTCACTAAGACGTACATCCTTCATTTGTTTGAAGCCATTTTTAAACATCAGTTTGAGGAAACTGTTATATGCAATGAACAGTTTAGATATGAATGAGTTTGGTGTACCTTCTTAGTATCCATATGAAAGTCTCATTCTGACAAGACTATTAAAGAACATTACTCACATTTTTAGGTTATTGCTTTGGTTTTGTAGTAACTTGTAGTGTTGGGTGAAACTTTCCTTAGCACAACCTGTTCTATGTTCAATTTCTTTATCTTCTAAACTAAATTTGTTGCAAATGATCTATTCTCCAAGGCAAGTGAGTAGCCATGGTTAGATGTAAATAAATGTCAGAACTGCCCAACAAGCAGAATTGGCAAAGTTCATAATAAGCAATAACGAGAAAAGAACAAGGCAAAATAAAATAATATAAAGCAAGCAAACTATATATGCAAGGCAAATTAACAGTAATAAGGCAAATTAACAGTAATAAGGCAAAAAGTACACAAACTAAGAATTGGGGTTGACACATGAAAGCCATTCTGGATAAGCAAACATAGCATTCTGACTTCAAGATGAAACCAAGAACCATCTTATTTTATTGGCTAGGAAAAAATCTCAGCATGCATTTGTGTGCTTCTGTCTACAAAGTGGAGAGGGGAAAGTGTTTTACTGTCATTTCCAAAAAGTTTTCCTAATTTGTTTTTATCCCCTTTTCATCTTGGCTGGATCAGTCATTGATATTTTCTCAACTCCATAGTTTATTTTCTCCTTGCCTCTTCTTTAGCGAGCAAGCTTCTTGATTCTACTTATTGCCAGCCACTCTTACTTTTGTGGGGTGGATGTGTCCTACTAACACATTTTATTTTTGATTTGAATGTTTTGTTATATTTTAGTTTTGTTTGTGGGTTCACCTCCCCCCACCCTCATTTCATGTAATTAAATTTTTATATATTTTTATAAAAAATAATAAAAACCAAAAAAAAGGATATTTCTTACATCATGAAATTTTTGTCATGGGTGTGTTTGTTAGCATTGTGCTATTGTGGTATATGGTGGATTGAATGGCTAAGTGGATAAGATGGATAAGTTCTTGTGGTGAATGAGTAAATTGTAATGTATGAATGGGTTGTGAATTGGATTAACTAGGATTAGGGTAGTTAGTGTAGACCAACCTCACCCCACTTCCCCTTCAGCCTCATGCCACAATTGTAATTTGATTTGCAATAATTCTACATTCCCTAAAAGAGTGGAATTAACAACCCTAAAAGATTTGTAATGTTTAATACTTACTAATTCCACATTCTGAACTTTTATGCTGGATTCAGGGTAGGCACCATCACTGCTTTCAAGGTTTATCTTGAGTCCTATTTCTTAGAACACTTGGTAGAGGATAGTCGTTAACAAAATTTAGTATTTTCAAATAATTTAGAAACCCACTGAAACTAGTGTTGATTTATATGTACATTCAAGAGTTAATTTCCCAAGATAACTTTATTCTGATCAGTGTTTATCAAATGAATATGTCTTTAGCCATCTACAATTTTACAAGATAATCATAGACAGGAGATAGTGTTTCCTAAAGAAATGCTGAATGTCATTATGGCTACATCTTGAAAGCAGTTACAATCTCTTATAATAAACAGTTAAGTCATAAGTTTTCTATAGTTGCTAGAAAAATATTGTGTGATGAAATTATCACAAATTATGTATGAAAACAATTTTTTCCTTCTTTTTGTAGTTGGATCATTCCTTTGAAAGTCGCCATTTTCTCAGTATTCTGCTAGAACCTCGCAGTTTAATTCTTGTGAAAGAATCAATGTATGAAAACTACCTACATGGAATTGCTGAGCAGAAGGAAGACAAAATCACAGACATCATTGCCAATCTGGACCACTGCCCCGGGGTAAAATTAGGAGATGTATTACAACGAACTACAAGAGTGTCTTTGACAATACGGCATGTGCCAAAAGTTTTAAAGTCAAAAATATTTCTTAAGTGCAAATGAGAACCGTCATGCTGGAAAGATTTGTACATATCTAAGAACTTGCAGAAAATCACTCGTCAGTTCATCATTCGACAGTCAAAGAAGCATTTTAAGCAAAATATATCATCTACAGATTTTATTTAAAGATGCCATGAAACTCATTTGTACACTGAGATTGTGATTTTTAAAAATACTCTTTCTGGCTAAGCAAGAAAATATGTTTTATTACGACAATATTTTCTTATTTCATTGCAAAGTATTTTTAAAATGTTTGGAATAGATTTTGAAAGAATCTGCTGCAAAAAAGCAAAATAAGTCTGAAGAAAGTTTTTATACTTATACTATTTACATTGTTTAGACTATTGTCCTCACCTTTATTGTCATATTCACAACATTTTGGCTGTTGTACACTGTGACCTTCTTCAGGTGAAATATGTTGGCATAGATTGTGCTTGTTCCACGTACCATGCCTTTTCTGGATATCTCAGGAGTGATAGCACCTGTTATATTAAAGTATAAAAATAGATTTTTATACTAGAAATATCAGCAATATATTTTTGTAAAAGAAAAATATTACCAACAATACATTTGAGATTGTTTTTACTAAAATATGTCAACGAAACCTGATCTACAAACTGATTTCTTACAAAGGACACATATTCTATTCATACGAACCTATCCTAAGAATCTTGTCAATATTAAATAACTCATTGAGGTGGATATGCCATAAAAAAATAAACTAAATGAAACCGGGATATCTCAGATTCAGTTATTTCCTTTTAGTAACTCAACTCTCCAAGTTTTTGTTCACCTCTGCTGTGGCCAAGTATTGAACTCACAACTCTGGGTCAAATCACTGGATTACTTCAACCAACACTTTTACACACTGGGCCATGTGTTCAATATCTGGCCACAGCAGAGATGAACAAAAACTTAAGAGAATTGAATTACTAAAGGGAATTAACTGAAACTGAGATATCCAGAAAAGGTATGGCATGTGGAGCTAGAACAATCTATCCCCATGGACTAAATAAAGAATTTGGTTTGAAATTCCACCTGAAGAAGGCCAAAGTGCACCACGGTTGAAACGTTGTGAATATGACAATAAAGATGAGGACAATCGTCCGAACAATTTAAATAGTGTAAATACCTCATCTCAGAAATATAAATATAATATCAGAAATATAAACAAAGTTTTTATATCTTTGATGTTTTTGTTCATGCAAAGTTTTAATGAAATACTTTGATCATTGCTGACAGACATGATGCAGATGACACCTACACAGTCAACAAAGCTGTACCTGCATTAAATTGCATCTGAAGATCAAAATTATTTTAATTCTTTTTTTAATGCATCAACCTCAACACATGATACTTTGGTATCCATGAACATTGTACAGTGTTTTTTATTTTGTGATGATATTGATCACAATCAGGATATTTCCATGCTTTTTATATGAAATTTACCTAAGATTTTGATAGACATTAACAACTTACAAATATAAACCCACCATGTTAATCAACATTAAAAAAAGAAAATATCTGCTTTGCTTCTGTGTCAATATTTGTTGTTTTTTTAACTGCTGCCTATAAAAATGCTACATTGAACAACATAAACAAAATTGTTCTTATTTAATCTCAGTTGTTGCAAAGAAAAATAGTCTTTAAAATTTTGAAGCTGTTATTATTTAAAATACATGATGTGATTTAAGTCTTTGATAACCAAGCAATAAAAATTTAAGACTGTGATTACCAACAGCTCTGAATTTTTCACTGAATAATGATTCTTTTATAAATTTACATAAGGCAAAATTTTGTCTGTTTGTCCCCCACCTTATGTCAGTAGAACAAAACAACTCGGTCTTTTATATATTTTACTAACAAATAACATAACACTTAATTTGCATAATGATTTTTTAAAAGAATGTTTTAATAAATATTTTATCTGAATTATCTTTAATTCAAATTTTTAAAAAAATTATCATATATAGTCAATGTTTTGTTGAGAAATTTTTTGAAAAATTTGTCATGTTTCTAAAGGAAGAATTTATATCTGCTTTGTCAAAATTCAGTTGAAAGTTAGCAGAAAAAATACCAGTGTGTTTAAATAAAATAAAATATAAAATACACATAATCTTGACTTCTAGAAATAACTTACAGTAAATAATTTTAAAAGAGTTAAAACATTTTATAGAATTATGTAATTTTAGGTCCACTAACTTTAGTGAGGCTATTGCTGCAGTGTTTGTAATAACCATTGTTGTCATCTGATATTTCACATTATGACAAATTAGTCAAGCATTACTCCACCATCCCAATTTACGAAATTATCTAAATAAATCAAAAATATTTTTTAGAAATGTGCCAAATTATTTAAACAAGTGAAAAATAAAATAATGAGTTTGCTGAATTCATTTTGATTATTATTGTTAAATGTTAACAGCCGTGAATGATCTTGACTTTTTAAATCGGCTGGCGATCACCAATTGTTTTGGTTCGGCAATGAAAGACTCCAACACAGATAATTTTAACTTCTATTTTTGTTAATTTCGACATGTACTAACTATGCTGTGGGGGTTGTTCCCCCTCACTTAGGAACCATTTCAGATGCAAAAGAGAACACATCTATATTGCTTGACAGTTAAGACTCAACTCACTGAAACCTTTCTCCTATCTCCTTTCCCCACACTAGTTCAGCCAATCCAAATCAACTTCCTATACTATGGCTTGCATCTGACACCAAAAGTCAACCTCGGGAAGTCGGAACAGAGATACACTTTCTCTAAAAAAAATAATAGTCTGATAAACTATTATTTAACATTATTATTATTAATAATAATACAAACATTAAAAAAATCTTAGTTTCTCTCATGGTTAGCTCTATGTCATTTTGTCTAGAGCAGAAAATTCAAGTGGACAGCATAATGATAAAAAGAACTTTAGTAAAAAGATATCTTGCTGAAAATATTGGTTATACAAAAATTGTATAGCGATAAGAGAACTCCTAATACAATGTATTTTTCTTTGCCTATAAAACAGGTATTCAGCTGATTTAACAAAATGGAAACAAACCACAATGATTCAGTTGAAAAAAATCAAGAAATAAACTGATTGCTTTGAGAAATAGTATGTGTTTTTTTTTTTTATTTATGAAATCTACATTGCCTTTTTGTCAATATATACATGACAACATGGAATATTGGTCTCTACTATTTATTTACTGTACTAATTAAAGCCAAAATCCAGGATAATTTGCCTCCAGTGTCTTCATAGTCATTTATTTCGAGTAAAAGGTGATTTCTTATTTTTCCCTAAACTGGCCAGCAGAGAGAAGTGACAATGCTGCAGTGAAAGTGTTAATATTCATGCACTTCCACTTGGTAAACAGTGTAATTAAGTTGAAACAGATTCTAAAAATTGTATCTGTTTCAACTCAACTACACTATGGTAAAAAATTGAATTATAATTATTACAAAGCATTCTCAAGATTAAATAAGAATTGAAGTTTATTCTTAATTCTATTCAAGAACATTTTCATACAGCAAATATGCTTGTAATGTATTCGGTCAAATCATAAATAATTGCTGTTTTTCTTTATTCTTCAAAAAATAAAGTACAATTCTATTTTATTCAATTCTATATTCACCATTATTTGCAATGAATTGTTGCAACTTATCAGGCAGGTCTTCAGTATTTTTTGAGTAAAGTTCTGCAGGCTTTAATGAGAAAAACTCTTGACTCTGGTTTTCCTTAGAGAAATCTTTTCCTATCAAAGCATTTTGCAGCAATCAATTTAAAGGTAATAATTGGTTGGTGCAAAGATCATGTGAATAAGTTGGGTGGGATAGAACAGACGAACCTAGTTCCATAATGTTTTCCTCTGTTATTCTTGTTGTATATGATCTTGTGCTGTTATAGAGAACAACATTATTCCTATTGACAAGCATAGGACACTTTTCAACCAAACTTTGATGGACATGTTGCAGCTGCTAGACCTACAAGTGTGCATTTAGATTTTCATTGTCTTTTAAGAACTCAAAATGAATTATACCCTACTGATCTCACCACACACCAACTTAGCTTTTTTTCCATGGATCTCAGTTCTTGGGGTCATTTGTAAAGATTTATTATTGTCAATCTACTATGTTTTGCTATTTACACTATTTACATTGTTTGGACTGTTATCCTCATTTTTATTGCTATATTTACAATGTTTCAACCATTGTACATTCTGACCGTCTTCAGGTTATATACATTGGAATTTCAAAACGAACCCTTTATTTAGTTCACCTTTTTTTCACCCCTTTTCATCATTTGTTCTGATAGATTTAAGGATCATTTAGGACAATACATTTGTTATTACAATTGGTTCCTAAAAATGGAAATTATTTATTACTTGAACAATGATGTACATAGAATTGGTGATGCGCAAGGCCAACTCTTTGATTGTATGCCCCTAAGACTCAAGTAGGGGGGGGGCTATAGGGCCTTGTACTTAGAAATGTGAGAAAGGAAAACATTTTAAATATGTAAAGACAGATGAAACATGAAATAAAGACTTTATTCAAATTAAATATAAACTAAATTTTATTTCACTCTTTGGTTGGATGCTCTCCCAATATGGATGCCTGGGGCTACCACCACCCTTTTTGCATTCTACTGTACTGAAACTAATATATACAAAGTGGATACTGAAAAGTTCTTGGCATCACCCACTTAAAAAAATACCTGAGCAAACCTCAATATTATTATTATTATTATTATTTTTTTTTTTTTTTTTTTAAAGGTTTCTTGATTAGGCAAAAAGTTTCAGCACCTCCTCTGTGTGTGTGTGTGTGTGAGAGAAAGAGAGATCAAAAGAATACAGTGATTTACAGTCAGAATCTGACTGATTTCTTCAACTGCATTATGAATGAATAGAGCGCCACCTGTCAAACTGAAAATTTACTAATACAAAAGAATTGCCTATATATTGATAGTAAAATCCAAACCACCTCATTGATAAACTTTTTGCAAAATGA